TGGATTAAAATACTCTCGTTTTCACGCAATTTCAGCTGTTTTCTGGTAGATTCTTGTGATTGTTACGAGTGTGGCAATGGTCAATAAATGATTTTTTACATCACCGGGAGACCGTGATGAGGCCAGCATCGTAGGCACAGCTGATGATCCTTGGACAAGTGGGTGAAACTACTGAATATCCAAGTTTAGGTTTTTAAGCTGGTCAAGATGGTAAACGATAGGTCACCGGCTTGATGCCAGTGGTCAGTGCTGCTTGCTCTATATTTTTCGATAGCAAAAGCTGCATACAACCATGTACAATAACAGCAACAGAGACAGATCCCGCTGGGATAAAGCGGCGGCAGCAGCATTAATAATCAATGTTGTCGGTTTTCCACATCGAAACGTCCCTGTTTTCGCAGGACGCAAATGCTGACCGCAAATACGCCAACTGCCGCCGTCACTAGCTTTGCCGGCCCATCTAAGTATATTTGATAGTAGTCAATGCAAGAAATTGACCGAATTTCGTCGACGCTGTTGATCAACCCATCCTCGTAGTTCACTTGTCGCAGCTAGTGCTGCGTCCTAAAAAAGTAAGGCCGGCCACGGAATCCCCGTGGGTCTCATCAATAATTAGGCCGACTCCCGTCTGGATCTGTCGTGGCTGCAGCCGCTGCTGTTACTCTCGTCAGCTCTTATAGTAGCATGACATGAACCATCTTCCCGTAAAACTACCTGGATGAACAAGCATCTAGCGCCATTTTGACAGCTATGTCTTCTTCGAAATCTACTAGTGATGCCATGAAGTTTCCGTGCCATGAAAGTTATCCTAGATCGTGAATGCTTTTGCTAGTGTGTTGTTTCACGCCGTTACGCTTTCCCCCTGCTGCTCGTATCGCATACAGCCATTAGGACTAGGCTAAATGATCTAAAACATTATTGAGAAAGCCTTATTGTACAGCAGCAGGAGTAGCGGTAGTGATCTTTAATAGTTGGGCTCTTGCTTGTTACAAAACCGTATCGAAAGTAGCAGGCAGCGCTTTCTCACAGTTAGCCAGCAGGACGGACATACTGTCCGCCTGCAAAGCACATATTCCTCCTATACAAGATGTTTATTATTTCAGTTTTCGCTTTAGGCTCTGAACGAAAAGCTACCGAAGTAATAGCTCAGTGCAGACACGTACCGTGAGAGGGCATGCAAGTAGATATGGTCTAAGTCATCTTTAACATCTTCGTATTCTCTAAAAGGGAAATGAGTCAGTTACTCGGTACTATTACAGCCCTTCTGCTACCAAATGTGTGCGACGTTCTTACATCATTACTGCAGCAAACCAGATGGCTAATTGTGACCGAAACGCGGTATACAGATGTACGTGATGGCACACTGCGAACGCGTATACATCACTCGCAATGGACCGTTGGGAAGTTATCTTTGCGTTACATAAAATTCGGAGATTATTCTGGGTCATCGATCATCAGCTGGGTGATTTGACAGGAGAGAATGTTCTCTGATGCTAGAGCAGCGACAATGCGTCGTGTTTATACGAATCATCGAACTGAAATTTTTTTCCTTGACAGCATAAGTAGACACCGTTTCAACTGTTGTATTGTATCGCTATCTGTTGTAAAAATATGAGAATCCTAGTATTTGAAAGAAGGCCTTTAGGGCCACGATCAGAACGATTGAGGTTTCACCATGCTCAGATATCTTAGGCGCAGTTTTCCATTTGCTAGGACATTGATCCTATTGAAAGTCACTCTGCTTTCTGCAAGACGCGGATACTTACTAGCCTGCGGCAAATCAACTACCAGCCGAGAGAGAAGTTCCCCCGCTATTTTGCCCTGGAGGCCTGCGCCGAAAAAATCTTGTGCCAGGTACTATTTCTCCTTGTTCGTCGACGCTGACGGAACTTGCGTTACGTTGTATGACGTTGTAACTCGTGTAGTTCATTTATCGTTCTCTCCTAATCTCTCCTTATTGACGCCTATCACAGCTTTACTCTTTACTTTACGTTTTGCTGGGCGTGCGACAAATTGCGAGCCGTATATTGAAAAGAAAAAGAAGAGAAGCCAGCGAGAGCTAGGTTTGAATGTGTTTTGTTGTGTATGCGTGCTATCTCGTGTAATTGAACGCAGTCAAGTCAAGTAGCAGCGACAGACACGAGAAACGATTTTACTGACCCAGCGATTTTGAAACGCGTTGTTGCCACACTCGGAACGAGTTTGAATTACGATCCAACACAATATAAACGTTTGGCTTATTTACATCTGACAATGCTTAGGTACTCGAAAAAAGAGAAATAGAGATTATATTGGCGCCTATGGGCGTCCATTACGCTAGAAATTACATTTGATTTAACACCGCCGCAGGAATGGACGGAATATACGGTGGCACACTAAAAAATATTTATAAAATAATACGGCAATAAAGCTTCCGACAGATCTGTTCACCACATACAATTACAATGAAGCGATTTTCTCTATAGGAAAGTTTTTTTTTATTTGTAATGACCTGATGCATCGTTAATGGACAGCATATATGTTCACAAAATGAATATCTTACTCCAAGCGGCTTGATACTGGATCATCATTGGTTCACTTTCACTGGATCAAACAATACTAGATGTTCTTCTGAGCGTTCTGTAGTCAATTTTTAACAACTCAGAACTTAAACTATCAGAAGCAGACGCACCCAAATCCGCCTAACGTTCAGCATGCTCTGGCAATTCAGAAGTGCTACGTTCGGGATATGATACTAGCGCGTGAAAAATAAAAACACTATCCCGTTAAAGTTAACGAGGTGGTTGTTAATGTAATAAGCGGTTAATCGCGTCGAGCGACATTGGCATAATCAGTCTTCTCTTAGCCTTCATCTTTGCTTTCGTTCATAATTATTCCTATTGACGTTGGCGTTGTCGTCATGACGCAGTTGCTGTGTGCTGCTGCGATCGCTGCACTATTGTTACGCTCATCGGTGCTGCCGCTATTGCCGTTGATGGTCTGGTTAATAGTCATCTATCATCCATCAAGGAACAGGAACCAGACGCCACAGCAGCGACACGGCAGAATGGGCAGACGAAATGGGTTGGCCAATAGCAACGAGCCACGGCCGTACTTCGAAGCTCGTCCACTGTTCCTAGACTCACGGTTGATTCGATCGATGTTTCGTATGCGTCGGATGCTAGGCCCGCTGCCGCAACGCTGCGTCTAAACGTAGACGCCATGCAATGCAGCGCGTGATGACGCTGCGAGTCCGAGACAGCTTTTTCGGCAGCGCGGTGACTGATGGGACGGCATCGCTGCTGCGCGGGATCTTCTCTCTGAACCTGAGCTAACCTGAACGCTCACTGATTTTCTACGTATAGTTGACACGCTTGTTATTATTTTCTTCGCGACAGCTGAAATCCTAGCAATATCGAAAGTACCTGCGATAATTAATGTTAACCTATTTGCCTGCCAAACTTAAGGAAACATGAACTTCTGTATGTCCAGAGCCGAACGCGAACATACTTTGTCTATTCTTGGAAGGCAATGACTGGTGGCAGCGCCTGACCTAAAACCTAAACGGTTTAGCTTAATACTGTTGCCCAATAACAACAGCACTCTGGTAAAAGCAAGAGCTTTTATCATTACGACTATCCATTCATGATTGCACGGCGCCATTGAGCGTTATCAACACTGGTCACCTTTTGGCCGTATCTTTTTTGACTTTGACGAGGTCTACATAAGTGACGTGTCCATGCACGTGCTCCCGTGCATGACAAAGCCAACGAATATAGAGAAACGACGCTATAGCAACGATATCGACAAGGGCGCCGATGCTAGTGAGTGAGATCCACGTAAAATTAACTGCGCACAACAACAACAACAATCAGCTTCAGCGTAGAGTAATCGCTTGCTATCAAAGCAGTCTCTCCCGTTGGCGATTGTCCAGATGCAGTCTGCTCAATTACTGTCGCATTACAGTGCAGATGGCTGAGCCGTTGCGTCTGTCGCTGCAGTCGCTGACGCAACCTAATGCGCGAATCATCACCATTCTGTTCACTTTACAGCAGTCGATTTTATTGTCTAGCGTTTATATTCAAGCCCGGCATCCATTTTGTGTTTTTGATTTGCTTTTACTGTTAGATGTTTTTCATCGTTTCCTTTAGCTTCGCTTCTCAGCGAAGCATGAGCCCTCTCTCATTATGGCCTTTTTCCTTCTTTCTTCTAATGATTCCCTGTCGAAGTGGCAGCCATTGTTGTCCTTGTAAGATTGGCCCGTTTCCAGCTGTTTCGTAAGCTGCCATTCATGCTGTACATACAGAGATACGCGACGGACAGCGTAGAAATCAGCTTTCTTTTTCTGTTCAGCCTTTAAGGAACAGCTCTGCCACCAATGAGCAATAAATAACGCTAACCCTATAGATACGATGCACACAAAGGATAAGCTGTTGAGCTTTTTTTTCTTCCCTTAGTTTTATGAAGCAGAGGGCCCGGTAAATTGCCAAGACCAATTTGTTTTCAGTCACTTGGTTGGTCAATGGTATAGGTACGCGAACGTTTTCGTCGATGGCGCCGTACGCACACTTTGGCGGCTGTCGAGCTGGAAGCAAAAACCGTTAAAGCTAGGTATTGTTCGGGCCATGGTTGGTCTTGTCTTATAGCACTCGTTAGTTGTTTCAAAACGCTTGAATCATCTCGGGGTTTCACCTTCGATGTATTAATCCAAATCAACAACAGCAATGACCGAGTAATCCCTGGGAGGGCTGCGCCGAGCGCTTTCTCCCGAAATAAACTTTCCTTCATTTTCTTGAGCAGTCCTTTCCTTTCGTCAGATGCTTTTCTTGTTGCCCCGTGGCCAACAGCACTGCTTTGGTGCTTTATTTGGTGGATGTGCGTACGTAAATAATAACGCCCCACTTGCGTCCATATCATAAAACAATATGCAAATCAAGTGATATGTTCTTTTTTATTTTCTATTATAATTTGTATACACAGGAACAAAGCGTACATTGTACTGAAACGATCAAAAACGACCATCGCTGAAATTGCATCAGCAGCTAGAACGAAAACCGCCAGGTAAATAGTATGCTGAATAACCGCGAATATTATAATAATAATAATAAATCTACAGATAACTCAAACCAGAAGCCCGCATCACAATACGAGCTTCATGCAGCGCTTAATAACTGGTAAAAAAACAATACTTTAGATAGACGCACACATATTCATACAGATCACTCTAGCTAAAAAGGCACAAATATCGATAGCAACCTACAACGAGAAAACATCGGGTACGTTGAGTAGTTCCTTGAAAAGGGGGTGATCGTGAATGTTCGACACGCGGCCCACCCACTGTCCGCCGTGCAGTGGACATCTGTAATCCGTTTGCAGGAGTTATGGCATCGTGTTGATTGAAGTTGACGTCTAAGAAGATCATTTTGTCACCAATGTGTATTATTCAAATACCAAATTTACTGACACCCCATCCTTCTGTTCGAAGCGATAGGGAGGCTCGTTTATGAACGTGACTGGTGGTAATAACGACTTTTTGCCGCCACCGCTGTTGATTGCGCTGCATGAAGACAACGTGGCAGATTTCTACGCAAATTGACGACGAAGTGCCAGAGTGTCAGTTCCGATAGAGAAAAACGACTGCGAGGGAAGTGTGTGCCGACATGTTAACATCCTTCTCGCCAAAGAAAGAAATATGGACAGGCAAAGCCAATTGAACTGTTAATCATTGTATTTTTTCGTGCAAAATATCGAGACGTTTGTTATGAGCTTCGATACAATATGGAGATGTCGATCAAAAGAAAACACCAGCTTCGCTTGGCTTGTAGACGCTATCAATTAGACTGAAATAACCCTGCCACGTAACACTAAAATCGCAGTTTCTTTAAAATGCGAATACGAGCTAATACGTTGTGTGATACATTCATTATGCGAATGGGTGGATTGGATGTTATAGCGATCGGCGGGCTTTGAGTGAAATTTCGAAAAGCGTTCGGTGGATTGACTAGCGATCTGCGACGCGGCGGATCGGGTGTTCTGAAAGTGAAACCTATCCTCTACGGTGAAATGAAGTCAATTCTTGTCAAATAGGTCAGATTTAAAAGTGACAAACAAAGTAGTTTATTTAGTTTTTAGAACAATTCGAAATTGGTATTGGTTTCAAAACACATTTCTGTTACTAGTGGCGAAATCGGGCATGCGCTAAGCGAATTCGGTTACTAATGACCTTCCTCTGACCCATTTTAAGGACCAAGGTCTTCGGGTATGAATGAGTACAGTATTAAATTGTTGACTTCCTCAAAGTAAGCCAATTTAATTTGAGCCAATGGTTCCCTTCCTAAATCAAATAGCCTCGATCGACACAGGCAGGACGTTGCTATGAGTAATGAGGTTGTAATATAGCATAACTTGAATATCTGGCACAACTTCGAAATATCTGGAAAACATGAATTACCTTTTTGCCTTTAACCTTGAAATCTATCACATTTTACAACATTTGGCTTTAGATCTTTTTTTTTTTTTTTTTTTATTTATTTATAAATTTCTTTATATTTATATATATAATTTGGAAATAAAGATAACATAGGTCCGATTGCGATCTGGTAGAATACGATCGTGTAGTCTAGCTGAAGGCTATTTATCTTATAGACTGTTAATTTGCGTTCGGTTCAACCATATCATACCTGGCTCCCTTTAAGCAACTTGCGTTAGGTAGCACAAAAGTAGACTTACGTCTGGCTAGTTTGAAGCAGAACGAAATCTTATGACACATTCCTACGTTAGTGTAGGAGATATGTATGTGCTATCAGGCTCGAAAAGGACACTAGACGCTTTTCTTGCATAACGCCTATCGAGGAAGCGGGCCGAAAGAAAGCGGCAGGAAGGTATCTTTTACACCAAAACATTAAAAACTTCAGTACACAAAAATATAAGTGGGGAAAAGACGATTTTTTGGGGCTTTAAGGTTGCTTCGATTTTTTTTTTGCTACAGGCTATACGTACCGAATTAGATATTTTTCCCCATGAAGTCCCTCGGCTGTTGTTTTCTCTACAAAAGAAACACTAGACTGGTGGTAATAACTACTTTTGTACTTTTTGCCGCCGTCGCTACTGATTGTGATACATGAAATAGAATAGCTTGAGAACTTACAAAAAATATCTATATTCGCATTGAACTTCTTAAATAAGATCACCTTGGCGTATCGTGAAGTAACCGAGGAGCTACAAGTGCGCAACGTGTTGATGGTAGCGTACTGACGGCTTAATTACAGTGCGAGCACGGAATTAGAACGAAACTTATATTACAGAGTCTCGAACATTAATAGCAAAATACCTGAGTCTTTTTAATTAAACAGTTGGTAAGTAAGGTAATGAAATTATTAAATTTGCTACGAAAACAGGCTGATGCTGCAACAATTGGGTCACAAAGATAGTACAACAGCTCCGACATTGTGACTCGATTAGGGAGGATGTCACGGTAGTACTGGATAACACTCGCTATATAGGTGTAGTAAAAAATGGGTCATTAACTAAATAAACGGGGTTACTAGTAGGAAATTGTACACATTGTTGTAATTAATTGTGATCGTTACGACACAGGGAGTAACGATCTCGGCGTTATTAACGTTAATGGCGTTAACTGAGATGCGTGCAAATCTTTATGGACACTGTTTCAATGTGAACTTACTGCGGTGCAGAACTTTCATCGCTTTTGTGCTTCGTAACTGACATGTGATTGCTAGACATACATTTGGCATGACTGTGATAGTCTGTCACGCACACATAGGTAGGCGTGTCGGTTTACGTGAATAAAAAAAAACACGTTTTGACGAAGTGATTAACGAACACAGACCATTAACAAGTAAATATAATTATAAACTCAAGCTTCTTTCGTCAATGATTGTATGTGTAGTACGTCCACATCGTATCTAAGGTATTGTAGGGTAAACGCTGTGTCGTTATATAGTTCGGTAACTAATTTTCTCTAAATGTCGTTTTAACTGCTTACACACATAGCCACATGTTTCAGATGACCAGGCGCAGTCGTGGACCAGGGTAAGCTTGGTAGCTGTAGGAAGCAGCTGTGGCTCCCACAGGGAACACCAAGGCCCGATTGTATCGTGACCCACGATAGGTGTCGTGAATGCAGATTTCGCTCCAAATATGTGCCCTGTGGTGGAGAGTTGCTGACACGAAGCGTTTTATCCAATTAGAAAGTGGCTTTCTCTTTCTTACGTTTTCTTTGAAAATCGTCTGTATTTGATATTGGGAAAAAGAAAAAGGAAACACTGCTAGCTTTTAACATCGAAGTCTTTCATAGAAGAGAGCAAGTGCTTCACGAGATAAGGTGGCAATCTAATTTGGTCGTGTTTCTAGGTCAATCATATGACTAACGATTTCCTGTAGCGTAGTTCATTTTGGCCCGAGTGAAGCGTTCAGTTGCACAGTGTTTAGCGCCATCTGAATCAAACGAACGTTTCGTCTCAATTTACTTCATTAAAACGACTTGAAGAGACTATGGGATTTTGTAGCATACGCTGCACTGCTCCGCTCACTAGTGGTCCCCAATAAACAATTCGGATTCCATTGATCCTGTTGACATCCGCGTTTCGTCGTTCGGTCCCTGGCTACTTTCTACGGCTTACGCCAGTATTACCGCCGCCGTACCGGCTGTGCACTTCAAATCAATCTAGCAGGGGGGCTGATAACCGGGCAGGGTAGACGGACAGAACGATCAGTCGTACGCTATAGGACCCTGTTCGGGTTCGGGTCTGTGTTTTCATTCGAAATCTTATCCCGCGCGTACGACCAGCGGACAGTTGGGCTCGGCGGGAGGTGTCAACTCGTACTCACAGACTGACGGTGGAGCCGACGTAAAACGCAACCAGCGATAAAACGCAAAACGATGAAGTTCATGATTCAGCTATCCGATTTATCTCCTACTGCTGCCGCTAGGACTAGCGTTGCTTGCTGTGTGGACGCTGACTGGTTATCGCCGCCCCAACTGATACTGTGCCTGTTGCGTTCCCATATTCTTGATGAGTCAACTGAATAGCTAGTGCAAACCAGTTTACTGTAGCCGGAAGCCAAGCTTATAAGTTGTCCTGACAGACTTTCGTCTTTTCGACTCCTGAATAGAGAAGACACATCGTTGCGAGATATCATTACACTGCGAGAGATGATGCCGTCTGCTCCGTATGCCTGTGAAGTACGACAAAATTGATCACTTCAAAAAAAGTCCCCTCCACAATACGATCGTTGATTTCCGGAAAAGAAATACCTTTCAAACGCGATATACTGTTATTTACGTCTATGAACCACAGGGCGATAAAGAAATATCACCGTAGTTCAGTCAACAAGGTAATGAGTGTGCCCAATTTGACAATGATATCTGATCTTGACGGAATCATTACTGCAACTATTCAAACTTTGCCAGCAAGGTATCAAGTTAAGTTGTTTGTCGAAAATTTGGGCTAAGTTCATGATTGCAAATGCTGGAGTACTTTTTATTTAAGCCTCGATATGCGGCTTGCGTTATTAGTAGCTGAATAATTAGCTGGCACTAATGGTTGTGCTCATTCAGAAACCAACTTTAAAAAAATGGCAGCTTCCTGCAATTAGCCTTTCCTCCGCCATATTTGATCATGTGCATGCTTGGCGTGTCGTTCGATCCTGTTAACCCGTTCTATACCAAAACAAGCGATATGTTGAGAACGTCTTCCATTGGTTTCGACGAAACGCAAAGTCTCTCAGCTTGTCCTTATGAGTTTGCAGGATGCCAGGATGCAAGGATTAAGGTACACTCCAGCAATTACCTAGGGATTGAAAGAACTGACTTTACTGACATGTACTATGAAATAAAATTCTTACTTATGAAAGACTGGGAAGATTTGCAAGCGACTAGGAAGCATTTCCACTAACTTGAAACTATTTTTTTGCGGTTTTGAACATGGACCCTTTCAATGCCAAGGCCAAGTTTACTGAAAATGATCAAACTTTATCTGTTCGTTTTTATGATCTACCATACGTTGCATGATTATCACATTTTACAAAAGTTGTGCTATTAGCATTAATTGAAGTTATTGCTGCCATACGAACTTAAGGAAAAAAAAACTAACGAACTAACTAATTATAATAACTTCAACTTTCCACAGAATAATAGAAAATAAATATGCTCCTCGGCTTTCGATCTTCTCGCCTCCCGCCTGTGCTATGATTAGCTCTATGTGTTGTATCGTCATTTGATAATGCATTGCCTTAAGATAATTCTGATTCGAAATCAGCGACCGCCGCTTTAAGAGTGATCAACACTTAAACACCCCCTCGCCTTGAACTTTTACTGCTTAAACTGTCAAGATGACAAAAGCTGATGTTTGTAAGCTCTTGTAATCCACTAGCTACCCTTTCTCTCCCATATTCCTACCACTTCCTTCCAGTTGTACGACCAAAACAGCAACGAATTTATTCATTCTGTCAGAAGAGAGATGTCTTACTTTAACTAACAATGAAAGCGTCGGAAGAAAAACAGAAAGCATACGAACAAAATAATAACTATTTGTGCTGCCGCCACTTATTTGATCGTTATCAACTTGACATCTTGTCACGTTTCCGTTACTTCAAACAATTTTTCCAAGCGCAACTTCGTTCACTTCGCTGGCCCCGTCATCTCCGAACTAAGCTAATCTCAAACAGTTACTATTCACAGTAAGTGGTAATGTAATTCACGTTATAATGGTCAATACTTATTCAAGTCCAGGATAATATATACATATACTCATGCCTGAAATTTTCTATTGAAATCGCCGAAGGAGGTGTCTCTCTCTAAAAAATATTGCGCAGTCGTTTGGAACAAATAGCATCTTAAAGTTTGAGGCGGTCTCTAGCTATGGTTTAACTAATCTGTTTACGAGCTCGAAAGATCGTCAGCAGCTGCCGGATTGCCGAACTAATTCAAAAAAGAACAGTGTAAATTTTGTCGTGGCCTTCGACGGTTGCACAAACTCCGTCCTGAGCAGGGCGTTCCTGAGTTATTCAACAGTAGGATAATTACTTTCGGCCACAAAAATGGCTACCTAACTTCTGTGGATCTTCAATTAATCGAGACTTGTGAAGAAAGACCCAAATTAATTCAATTTTTGAAAACAAACAAGATTATTAACAAAAATCAACATGGATTCAAGATAAATGGGAAAAAAAAAGGGAAAACACGACGGCAGTAGCTAAAGGGTTATTTGGCGAAGTAACGAAACGAGAGAAAAAAGCCATGGTGATTTTTTCTCCTAAGTCTGAGGAAGGTATTCGACTACGTTAACATAAATTTACAGTATAATAATCAACAGTGACCTTCGTTCGACCAATGTGACAATTTAGTCATATATTTTATTCATTTATATTTAGCTTATAGGGAACAAGTGGGGTAAAGGGTTCCAATTAGACTAACTCTTGTCGAAATGCAAAGATACGCACGGTCCGATTGCGTATAGACACGCATATAGATAACGTCGATAGGTTCTGTATAAGATTTGTGCCGATGATGCGTGCACCCTCAGTACAGATAATAGATGGACAATAGCGCTGAACAATTTACAGAGATTTCTTATTGATTAAATGATACTATTGAACGAGGTCTGCTTCAGGGAGGTGAAAACAGCTTTTAAACGCCATGAATGCTCTCTCCCCACGTATTGACCAACAATTTCTATTCCGGTGTCTACGTAATAAAAACAAACACTTAGAGTCATTCTAAGCGATCGCATCGTCCACTTTCCCGTCAGTAAACAACTGTACATGTGCAGGAGCGCTCAATACTCGAATGTGATCTAGCAAGTTAATGAAGAAAATATACAGGAATATAAAATTAAGAGCTGGCTATGTTTTATCATTCTTCTCCTCGCCACCTTTATACTACGTACTCTAATTCGTAAGAAAAAAAGGCCCTAAGACATGTCTTCAGCATGTAATACAGGACCTGTCAATCTAAAAAAAATCCGTTTTTACAGTCCTTTGCAAATAGGAAACTTAAAATCGAAGCTTCACAGATATAGATAAAATTTGGTTCAGTGTGTTGAGAAGTCCTATTAACTAAAAAGTTTCTTACGAACCTCTCATCGACTAATTCCTTAACAACACTTATTCAAAGTTACTATTGATAAATCGATGACTTGCTCATCTATAAGTAATTAGTTTATATATATAGAAAGTGAGGAGACATTTAATAGTGTTAAATATTTGTTAACAACGAACTTGCCGACCGGTGCCGGTTCCTGTTATTGAATAGTAACATAAACCACAGCAGTGGAAATTAACTAACGTAAGATAAGTTGATTTGCCGCGTCGCGATACGCGCACACAGATGCCTGCACATTTTTACTAGTCTTGATAACCTACTGCAGTTACAATTGCCAACAGCGAACGAGCGTTAGTGGCTGTGGCCATTCACGTACACCCAGACCCATCACTACTTCCGATTGATCTTCTGCCTTCCGTTGCCGACGGATGAAGAGATCTCGTTGCCACGAACGAAGTGAGCACATCCAACAGAAGAAAAAGATGTACAGCTAACAACAGCGGCAAAAGCAGCCAGCCGGGCAGCAGTAAAAATACTCACGACAGTTACTCTAATGACAAAGTAACGTCTTCTTTGATTGCATCTTTTTCTCATCGAGCCGAAAACGATATGGCGTGGGGTAGTTGATCGAAACGAAAACAAGAACAATAGCAACACTTGCAGCACCAGTCACAGCCAAAGGTGGGGTTGCCGCTGTCGTGACCACGTTGACCGCGATCACCTCATCTAAATAACAGAGACTTTTTTGTCATGTGATTCATTTGTGCTTTGTAAACTTTTCCTGTAACAGTTGTTGCTAGCATTTTTCTTGAGTCTCCACACCACACTATTTCCATTTGCCCGCTGCTAACCGTCTGCGTCGTCCTATCTCATCTCGCTAGATGGGGACATTGCTTGCGGACTTAATTATCCAGCAAAAGAAAGACCGAGTCCGTATAGAAACGCTAACTACAACAGTTGGACAGCATAGGGGCCCTATTACGTAGACACCATAGAGGGCCAGAATTAAGTCTATTCCACCTATAGTAGCGCATGTATATCTGAGTGTGTTCGTGCCTGTACACACGTATCTGCTTCTTCAGTTGGAAACACTCGGTATGTACAGCTGTAGAATTGTACAGATCCTCAATAGCTGTGTGTGGCATCTGAATATTCCTCAAAGGAGCATTGACTCGATTTACATGATCACCATTCTGATCCCGCCTGTTTTTACACTCATTAGATTGAGTGAACCGTCACAGAATTTTGTCGGCGGCGTAATTCCCGTTTACTATTTAGAAGTAACATTTTCCAAACAGCGACGGTAAAAGCAGCAGAGATACCATCACGTCATAAACATGATTACGAAAAGCACAAGATACACACTAGGTCTTTTTACAGCTGAATTTACATAGTAATCGAACATTTAGCTTCTTGTTCATTTAAGTTAGCGATTGTAAGTTAATTAAGAATCTCGAGCGAATTGCAAATTTCTCAGTCACGTCAAACATGTAACACTCTAACCTCACATAGGACTAATGAACATTTACCCGTATACGCAGAGACTGAGTAGCCGGCGGCCTTATTTCGACTACCATAAAGCATAATATTATGAAAAAAATAATTGAGGTACACACCGTGCCAGGAGCATCGTTGGAGTAATGCCCTGCGGCAGCCATTGTTAACTTGAGAACTTTTTTTCGATTAACGTAATCAATTAAGTTAATTAACTATAAGTTACATTTATTGGAAATCAACGACACTTAGCAGTTGGGTCTAGGAAAGGAACCTATGAGACCAGGCCGATCCGTACTCTATCTAGTTCCAATTAATGACAAGGTTATACTCAAAGATAAAAGAGCACGCGGAGCGGCACGCGTTACCGACAAAGTCTACGAGAGGCATCATTTGCTTCAGCAGTGTCATCATTCTGACGCCAGACTTTCGATGTTCGAAACACGTATGCAACAAACAATCGCTCCCGATAACATGCCGGATAAAAAGACCAACAACGCCTGGGCTAATACGATGCATATGTACAACGCAGATTAGCAACGAAAAAATACCATGAGATTTATATACGAAATTACCCTTCGCCCCTGTAATAGTTTAATGATAATGGTAATACTAGCAACAGTAACAGTCAGAGTCGCACGGCCCGGTACATACAAGGCGAAACATCTGAGCTTTTTTTCCTGTCAGCTGAATGGTCAAATGGCGGATGCCGATAACCCGAACTATAGAATCACGGTGATAACGCGGCGAGTCCTCGGCAATTTTTGCAAAGGGAAGATGTGCACACGTAGGTGTACGTAAATTCAGTGCATGACTATATTTAAAACGTATCTAGATATTAAAAAATAAGATCGCAAGATAGTGAGCAACAGCATAATATTTTCAAATACCAGATAATTCTGATACCAGATGAGTTGAAAAAAGTCAGATGTAGGATACTTATTATATCGATTTTTATCATTCGACGATAACTGGATATGATTTGGGGTTGTCCATGTTTTATCATGGATCATAACTAGGATCGTATTATGTTTGGCCCATTGTTCCCTTGCAGATCGTTTGCGATCAAGGTCTGTAGCAGCTTAACTTTGACCTTAGAAAAATCAGACAACCTATGAACTCTTTATTGGACCGCTAAATATGCACCCACAATTGATTTGATTCAAGGAATAGATATTATCATTATGACACACCTGCCATCTCATTCAAGCCAAGTAAAACGATTCTTGCTTATCACAAAAGCAACAGAAACGTTGCTAATCATTGATCAGCAATAATTAGAATGGAAACAAGAACGCCTAAGCATTCATGTCTTTGTTCCTCTGCTATACCCTAAACTGATACGAGCTTAGATACAGTGTCATGATCTACGACGTCAAACCATATCTAGTCACCGGCGAGTATATATATATGTATATAGAGGTCAGAAAAATATGGTTGCAAAGCTGAAATTAAAAGAAATTGACGGAGGAAGAGCACCAAGATTATATATATATATATATATATATATATATATATATATATATATATATATTCAGGCAAAATCGACAAATTCAACCAAAGGCGGCTGTCAGTTGCTGTTCGGCATTGCCCTATAAGATCTAGAAGTGCAAAATGATTGATCAGAAGAAGCAAATTATGAGGGGGCCAGAAAAGGGGACGAAGTTACGTGCATTTGAGCAAATAGGACTTTATCACCGTCAAAAAGAATGAGGAAGGTGAAGCTCAACGAAGTTCAATGTGCTCCTGGCGCCGAAGGAAATGATGACGGCACTAACGATGCCAGAGCAGTGCAAGAAAAATTCGAGAGGGAGTCGAGCCGATCCTTTTTCGTTCGATTGGGTTAATCGGGTGAAAAAAACCAGCGATCGTTCAACGACGACAGCCACAACGACGATGCTGATGCCAATCACGACGTCGACTCGACGACAGTAATGAGCCAAAAGAACAGCGAAAAGTAATAGCAGCAGAAGCGGGGAATCCCTAAGAATACTGAAATGACTATTCGTTGACGCACAGCAGCAGCAGCAGTGAAGGTACTAGATCTTCAAAAGCCACCGCAAACTCCTGCAGCTGGAAGATCAGATTTCTGCAGGCGTAACGGCCTCGGAGCCAGGATCGGCCAATCTAGGGATGTGAAAATATATGCACTTATTGCAGCTGTAAAAATAGCAAGTGTTGCAGCTGCACCAGACGGCATCAGCAGCGGCTGTGCACTATAATATGAACACGATGGCTTCATTGTCAGGTAGAGGGACTAAGGACACATCCACCACGAGTTGAAACCCTTCAGCAGACAGAAAAAACGAGGGAAACTGATTACCATGTTGTACGCAACTAAGCGTTAGCAGTTACACGATCAAACAAGTTCGGTCTCTTTCGATAACGTATTCTCTGAGGGTACGAAGTTTTTTTTCTTGATAAAGACACAGTTGCCTAAAAAGATAATATCAGCTAGTGATATTACACGTCGAGCAGAGATAAATGTGTTTGGTGAATAAGAAGAAAAGTTTCTATTAATGAGTGAGGCGTACGTTCAGACGACCACTTACCGTGTACCGTATTGGTCTGCCAGTCAAGACTAACGTTTAACGGAAGTATGATGTTGTTCAGTAGCTGCTGACACCGTTTATTGTTGCGATTTCTTGCGTTTATAGCATCCTTGTCGAGCGGAACGGCGCGAGGGGTAACTAGTGAGAATCGTTGGCAGAGCCCTTACCTCGCGGCACGAATAAGCAGGCGACGGAAGCATGTAAGGCGACAGCTGTTGGCGCTATTGATCTTGCCCACGCTGTCGGCTCATTGATTGCCCAGAAAGGACAAGGGTGGTAACGTAGAGATAAACGTCCTCGATCGTACAGAATTAACGTGGATGATATCAGCTAAGTAGATAGCAAATTAGGATTAATGCTATCGTGTCACACTGTCGAGTAGATTAAACCTTTGTCGTCTTAACATAGGTAGGGATGGTACCTTACGTAGGATGCGACTCTCTAACCAGTAACAAGGCGACTAAATTAAAAAAAAAACACTAAATTTTAGGCGGATTACATTGTATTCAGCTTATATATATTAACACAGAATTCACACTCTGAGCTGACGATGCGGAACTAAAAGGTCGCCATACATACTTGATGCCTGATGTGCAGTACCGTTCAGAAATACGGTTGTGGGTTATGCGGTCGCCCATACGGCAAAATCGAAGATCGATCTAGGCTTTGTTGCGGGTCCATGTGATGAAATTTCCATACTCAAGAGTAGGCCAGCTTTATTATATCAACATTATTTGATCCTAGAACAGCGGCATGATATAGAAATAGATTTATATTCCACTTTGTATTTTCCCTTCAAAACGTTCTTTTGTATAATATGTTAAATTTAGTTAATATGTTTATCCTAATGCTGCCCAGCGCTACAGATGAGTGCAAATGCTGCTGTAAATTTGTATAACAAAAAACTGAATTTATTGCTTTAATAATTCCTTTGCATTACTTTGTCTGTCCTAAAATAGCTACGTAATAGACACACTCGACACAATTTGGGCAAAGAGATACCTCACATTCAGCTCTACGTAATTCAGTTATACATGTATATAATGTATTTTTTGCGTCAAAAAATAATATCTCTCGCTTTCCTTAATTCGTTGCATGAAAAATCTTCGAAGAGGCATATAAACGCGACTTCAGCACTTCAGCATTGGTCACGAATCTGGCCAGCAGGACGGTGTCAGCACTTCGTCTGCGAATGTAAGGCCACTTAACGAATCGATGGAAGTTGAAACATCCATCCATAGTACAAAAGGTATTATACGAAGGCAATTTATTCCCTTGGGTATGTAAATGACAAGTAGATAGTTGATCTGTAAAATGCTAGTTCGTGTAATCACCAATCATCTGGGCATCTAAGCATCGGTTTCCCACCAACGATGATTTCCACTCGCTACCGAGCAAGCCAGTATAGCATTTTCTTTTATAGCGATGCACTCATTGGCGTTTTCAGCCAGCAACCGGTGAGAATCAACGATAAAAGACGTAGCAAAAAAACATGAAGGAAACAAACTAAGTAAAATTCTGCTGTCATTACCGTCACCGCTAATCCGATCGTCGCTATTGGGCTGTTTAGATAAATGGGTCAAAAATCCTGCCTGACTAGCGACGAACACCAAAAAAAGCGTAAGCTAAATATAGTAATTATAAATGGCCAATTGTTGACTGTATTTAAACGAGGCGAACAAACAAAAGTTGAATCCGTCCTGTGGGTTTTAACGAATCGTTTCTCTCCGATGAGCGTCAGTCTGCCATACGTCCTCATCGCTGGCTTAGTTTTAGTATAGTCGAACTAACCTGAAGCTTAGGTCGCGCCATTTTGCTCTCAGGTGCTATCTTAGGTGACTGTTCAAAGGCCAACTGCATTGACGATGCTACTAAATAGATCGTGCAATAGAATAGTATGCGACATGCCATCGGAGCAAATCTGAACCTTCAGTGTTAATGTACGTGTTGAATATTCTGAACAACATGACGTAGCTTAGTACACGAAGTCTACCTTGTTTATTTTTTGGGTTTTGAATTAGCCGGTCACCGCAATAATCATACAGAAACTGGAAAGATGAACAGATTAACTGGAAGGAACAGGGCTTATTTTTGATGAACATTGGAAACGTGCTACTGTCGACTATGAAACGCGCTTGTATGAGTTACTGTATCCAACTCTCGGACGCACACGAAAATATCGGGACACGAGTTTTCAGTTTACGTCGATTGACGTATGGCCAGTATAGCACAGACCTCTGTAGAAATCTGCTCTATGAAAGATGATAATAATACTTCTGAACAGTAGCATAAAAGGCTTTATACCTTTGGGCCTTTGGCAAGACGACACAGATTCAGATATGTATACATACAACCGACAAACAAGACGATGGAGAGGGTTTTACGTCATCCTCAGGTGCGCATTTATTCATTTGTCGTTGTGGTAGTGAGCGGGCGGATTGCGGAATCATTAACGGAACAAGAAAACTCTCGGCAGCCTTTCTACTGTTAACAGCTCACGAGTACACGATCCCACCAAAAATGATAACAACGTTTTGAAAATGGCAATCTCTCCCATTTATCTTAGTTTTTTTCAATGGTATTTATTATATCTGGAATGGAAACGTTAACTATACACGGTGCGCGTTCGTCTGACATGGTACTTTATAGTAGAAAAATTCATTAGCTACTTTTGTTTATGGAAGAGTGATAACACTCCTAGATTTTTATCGACGAGCAATATCATCTACATATATATATTTGACGCCGCATAGAGGCAACGTGTAAGACTGCCTGATCGCCTACACAGTCGGGCTAACATATACGTATAAACGCGATAAAAAATTCCGTGATACGTGGATACAGTAGAAGAGTAAAAGCTGTCGTAGGTGTATTGTTGTTTAATAAATTTTCTAATGCTACGTAGTAAATTATTGCAGTTGAAATTCATGATATTTCTAAAGGTACATCGCAAATCCATGTAATATATATGCAAAAAAAAAGGAGTAGGTGTTGCTCTTTTTTAATTACCCAGGAGACTTAGCTTCTGTCGATTTGTTTTTACCAATTATATCGCTGATGCTTTGACAGAAGACACTGATAGCTTTAATCCGTTCGTTGATAAGCTTGACTGTGTCAATGCACGCATGCTCCTTTCATCATATTAGAAAATTCTAGAAGATAAGCTTTTTACGCATTCTTTGCTGGACAAAATTCACTGTCTGATTCCAACTCATTTGATCGGCTCCTGTTTAACTGGCCTAAACAGGCGATTTTAGAGCCTGACCACTAAGGCCATCTTGTGATGAAAACACTGATGTGAATTCACTGTATTCCATTTGTTAAAATCAAGCTCCTGAAATTTTATTATAGGTCATCATTATTTAAGTAGATTAAGCTTGCTATAATGAGAGTAACGATTGCGTGCGTAAGCGAGTGTAACTTTTCGACGCTTTTCTTTAGCCTAATTTTAAATAGAACAACATATTGAGCTTTTCGTATTGATAGTTTTCCCTTGCAAGGCCCTTTCATTTTACATACGTCCAGACGAGCGCACACACACACTCAGTTCCAATTATTTACGCAGCCGTAACGGTATTGGCCAAACCCGGCTGTGCTGTCTTCTCCACCCCAGCCTCCTCATTTTTTTAGCAATGGAAAAAACTAACAAGCTAATTTTTGTTTATGCTTTTGTTGTCGTCGTCGTTGTGCTATTAGTATATTTTATTATTATTACGATTCTCATTACCGTAAATCCTGACTTTTCAGATGCAAAGGAGTAAACGTGCATTACAGGAGTGTGCAGCCTAGTAGAAATTTGGAATCAACAACGTCTTCTCTCCGTGGTAGCAGATGTTTGTCACTGATGGCACCGCAATGCATCTGCACTATCTTCCGTCAAAAGCTGCTGCAGACACTACAGTGGCATCAAAACCGTCACGAACTGCCCGACTTTTTGAGTCCTGGTAACAGCGAGTAAAATGACTGCAAATCCAATAGAAAAGACCGATGTCTAATGTTTGTCAACGGCTTGAGCTGCTGATGTGACCGCCTGCCGCCCTGCCCTTTACTGACTTTCCGACCTGGGTTACAATAATAACAGCAGTGGTTGGTCCGTCGGTCGATTGGTTCCTAATTTGACAGTGCATGTCAACACTATAGGATAACACGGTTGGAGCCGTCGATTTCTTATCAAAATTCCTAGAGGCATTTCCCTATTCGAGAGGTATGGCTGGTATTAGGTAGTTCAGAAGTAAAAAATTATCCATTTTATACTTACGGATATGGACTGTTGTAGACCAGCCGAACGCTACAACGTTATTGTACTTAACAACATCAGCAGTGATCCAAAGCATATGCTGAGAAGCATAATCAGTCAACAGCTTATGTCTATATGGCAGTTATGATTTTTGTAACTATATAACCGGAACAAACATTTCTTTTTATTATTGTTTTGTCTCGACTGACGACCATTATCAGAATTATGCAATACTTTTCCTATCAGGGGAAATAGGAGCCACACCATAGCGTGACGCTAACAAAACGGCTCTTGCTATGGAAGCCATAGTCGTAATTAGCCAAACCTCCAGCTTCCCTTGCGACAGAGAGAAACCCTTTCCTTTTGCCCAGGCAGCACTCACCGCGCGAATTCGACAAAGGTAAATGTACAATTTCGGCCGAAGTTCGCAGATGTCTAGTGTACCGTTATAGTTTGTGATGTCCTACTAAGCATAGTTTTCATAGAGTAACATAGTAAATCGTGAATAAATATTTAATTTTGAGAAAAATTCCGCTTCAAGAAATCAAGTGACTATTCAAGGGTCAAACAGACAGAATGGTTTAGCGGGGAAATGAAAATTAAAGGCGAAATAACTTAGATAGAAAGGGTTCGGTTACGATTTCATGAACTTCAAGGACCGAGACAGGACCAGTTTGCCAGCTCCTCCCAATGCCCAATCGGTTTAATAGGATAGAGAAGACCTAGGAGAGGAAACGGCAATTCTTACTGTTCGCTTCCTTAGAAAGTAGAGAAAACACACTGCAGGAAGGAAGCTAGTAAATGTCACCTCGAGCCACGCTAGTAATGACAACCC